TTTTTTGCTTCTTCTTTTTTATTTTCAACTTCTAATTTTCTGATTTGATTAAATGCCATTAATTGATGAAGAATAATTCCTTTTGTAATTTTAATATTTTTAGTATTTTTGTATATAATTTCTTTTTCTCTACATATTCCTTTTATTTCACTTTCAATCTTTTGTCCTTCTTTAATTTCTTCTTTACATTGAATATAACATGTTATCATTCCATAAAAATTATTAATTTCTTTTGGTATTATTTCTCCTTTAATATTCCATTCAATTTGACATTTATTAATTGTTGGAATAAGAATACGTTCTGTAATTTTTGAAACTTCTTTTTTTAATAAATTTACATTCTTAGAAATAACTGAAATTCCATTTCCAATTCTACCTATATTTCTTATTAATTCAATATCACAACTTCTTCCTAATCCAACTCCATGTAATGAATTCTTTTTTGAAAGATTATGAATATATTCAATTGTATTTATTTTATTATCAACATATCCATCAGTTAATAAAATTATATGACATTTTTCTGTATTATTATCAATTAATGCTTTTAATGGTGCATCCATACTTGTTCCTCCATAATTTGCTTCAAATTCTGAAATTGTATCTGATGCAATTTTTAATGTATCTTCATTATATTCTACCATTTCTTTAAACATAAAATCATATTTACTTCCAAATGAAATAATTTCAAATTTTGATTTTAATGGTAATTGTCTTAAAAATAATTGTAACATATTTCTAAGTGCATTAATTCCTTCTCCATACATACTTCCACTTCTATCACAAATAAAAATAATATTAATATCTCCTTCTTTTTCTTTATTAATAAATGTAGATGAAATTACAACTTCATCCGTATCTTCATCTTTCATTCCAAGTATTAAATCTCCATTTAATGGAACACTAATCTCTTCTTCTCCACTTAATATACCTTTAAAACTAAATTTTGAACTTCCTATAATTTTGATTGAATATGGAATTTGATATTTTTCTTTAGATTCAATTAAATTAGGAATCTTAATTATTAATTCTTCTTCTTGAATCTCCATATGTGTGAGATATTCAATACTAAATGTTACTTCACTATGTTTATTGACTAATCCAAGTAAAATACTAAATGTTGTATCATCAACTTGTTCCATTATACTTGAACTATATCCATTTGTTGTTGCATCACTTTGTTCAATCTTTGCTTGTTCTTTTTCTTTTAGTTCTGATTCAATTTCTCCATTAACTGTTTTAATTGAATATCCAGTAACAGCAGATTCATCATCTAATGTCATAATAATACTAACATTACAATCATTATTAGATTCATTCAATATTGAATGAATAGCCTTAACTTTAGCATTATTACCAATAGTCTCTATTTCAAAATTGATTGAAGTTAATCGAACTTGTTTTTCTTGAGAAATAACTCTTCCAAAAAATAACATTAATTTGATAGATAAAAGTTCTAAAATTTATCATTTTATATTAATTTCAATGAGGTTTTTAAAAATGAAAAAACCATTTAAATCATAAGAGTTTAATTGAAACAGTTTTGATTTATATAAAAATAGAACTTATTTTAAAATATTTAGAACAAATTAAATGATTTTTTATTTTTTCAATAAAATTTATATCTTTTTCTTTTATTTTACAATTAATAGTAAGTGAAATATTTTTCATATTCTTGAAAACTTTAAAACTGAATAAAGTAATACCTCAAATCTTTTTAACATCATTTAATTGAAGTTCTTTATTTTTTTGGTTCTTAATGATTCACTACTCAACTGAATATATAAAAATATGTTAAAAATATTTACCAATCTTGTTTTTGGATGTTTAAATTATCTAATTTACAAGTTATTCTTTATCTAAAACATATAAACATTAAGAACAAATTGAAAGAAAAAGACTAGTGTTTAAGTCATATCTAATTTTAATATTACTATTCCCAAAAAAATAAATATATTTATAATAATATTAATAAATATCTTAAAATGTAAGTCATTTATTAAATGATAACTATTGAATTACAAGGGTAATAATTTATTATACAATTTGAAACTATGAATTAATACTATTATATTCATCTCTTTAAATTAGAATAATAAACTTCATTTAAAAATAAATTAAATAAATAATAAATTCTTTTATTTAAAATTTTTCATTTTATAAAATCAAAAACTATAAAAAGATATTGAATTGAATTATTCTCTTATTTACCTTCTTCATAACTTTCATCTTCTTCTTCTCCAAAGAAAACTTCACTCCAAGGTATATCTCCACATTGTTCTTCTTTATCTTCAATGATTTGGGTAAGTATTTTCTTACTAATATTTCTTGGAATTCTTTTACAATCTCTTAAATCAAATTTCTTTGCTAAAAACGTTTTATCTTCTTTAATTTCTAATCCACATGAAATTAAATCAGCAATGCATTCCTCTTCATCATCATACATTAATGCATCAACTACATATGATACTGGAATTGGTAATTGCATTACTCCAGCCCAACTAGAAAGAACTCTATGTCTCATATCAATGAGTCTCATCCTAAATAGTGCATGAAATACAATCGACTCTAATGAAACAGGGAATACACTATCAATAATTCGTTTTAATTTTCCATATTCCATCTTTTCAAGAGCATCAGCAACTTGATAAGACTCAATGAGCATTTCTGAATTCTCTTTATTTATAATTTCACTTCGTTGAAGAGGACTTAATAATAATACACGTTCCATTTCATCATATTGTTCTCTTTCTAATAATTCATTTATTTCTTCTTCATTCATAATAGAATCTATATGTTCATATAAATGTTTTAATGTTAAAATCCATTGTTTTAATTGTTCTTTTGCAAAGTCATAATTATCACAATTTATTTGAAATGAATAAAATGAATAAAACATAATTGCAGCATGTGCGATATCAAAAATTAATGACGAAACATATTGCTGATGAATAATATCTGTATGGATAGCTCTTATTCTATCCGAAACATAAATAAATTTTTCATCAATAGAAATGTTGTCATATTGTTTATTATCCATAATATTCAATAAAAACATCATTGAATCGGCTAATGCTTCTTCTGTTCTATAATCACACTGTTGTTCAGTATTTGCTCCAGTACTTCTTTTATATGGTTTAACAATTTTTGTTGGATCAGGAATTCCTCTTTCATCAATTTCAAATGGAGCAAAATTTTTAGCATATAAATACTCTAACAAATCTTTTGCTCCACACATTTCTTCGGTTGGTTTATTTGGATCAGCTGATGCTTTTGCTTGGTTAACTTCTGTAATTACATCCAAAACATCAGTTCTTTGAGGAACCCAATCTTTTTTATCAATTTCTTCAATGATTTTCTTTTCCTTCTCTCGTTTTTTCAGCTTCATAAACTTATTATTTAAACTTCTTGAATATCACTCACTATTTTACCCTATATTTTAACCCTCTTTTTTTTTATTTTTTAAACTTTTTTGTTATTTTACTTTTTTGTATTTAAATTCATGAAGTTTTATTTTTATATACGGTTATTTGAACTCTTTATTATGTCCTCTTGATATTGTTTTTTTCTTTATAAATTCTATTAGATTTATAACTTAAATTCTTCTAATTATGACTATATTATTAATAGTCATTACATTAAGTTTAAAATAAGGTTATTTCTTTTAATTAAACTGTTATATTTTTTTGTTAGGATCAGAGTTATTGTATCTGAATATAATCTAACAATAAATTAAAATATTTTTATTATTTGGGGATAATTGAGTTGACTATTAGTGGGGCAATATCCTTTAAACATTCTTATTTTTTTGTTCATATTTATTTATTAATTGTATTTAATAATTCATATTTAGTGTTATTGGAATCTACTTTATTATTAGAAAAGATTCTAAAATTATATTGTATTTTTATTTGTTATTCAACTAAAACTCTTTTTAATAATTTTAATTATTTATCCGATATTACTACTTTATAATTATCTGTTTTTATTTAATTTTATGTTTTAATTAATAAAGTAGATTCTTCTTCAATGAATTCCTACACTTTAGAAAATAAGATAATTCCTATTTTCATTGATTAGAAATACTTTCAAAAAGTATACCTTTTTCAATGATCACAAAATAACTACATGTAAATATTTAAACAATTTACTTGATATCTTTACTCTTTTTATATCCAGTAATTTCCATTTTAAATAAGATGAAGTTCATAGACTATTAAAAAGAACAATTCAAGTACTTTTGTTTTAAGAAAGAGAATTAATTTTATAATTAATTCAATTAACTATTCTCTTTATATCAATAATTTTTCATATCCATTTATTATTGTATAGTTAAATTCAGTAACCTTAGATTCTTAATTAAGAAGATATTTATATTTTTTTATTGAGTATAATAATGTTATTTAGCAAATTCATTTAAATAATTAACAAAATGTGTTTGTATAATTCTTTACTAAAATAAAATTAATAATCTTCGTTAGTAATTTCATTGAAGTTAAGAGTAAAATTGAATGTATTGAATGACAATTTATATTTATAGAGAATCAAACTAACTAAAATTAAAAATATTTAAAAGAATTTTCTTTAATAAATATTTTAAGAAGAAAAAAATAACGTTATATATAACAAAAAGAATAATAACATTCGAAAGGAGAAAATTTATTTGGGGAAAGGTATTTTAATAATTCGATTTTTCCTTGTAGCAAAATATAATAAAAAATAATAAAAAAATAAATCTAAAAGAACTATAATAATTTATAACTTAGACGGTAGAATGTGTATACCCGACTTCATCTCAGGTCATACTCAGAAATAGAACATTTTAAAAAAGATTAATAAAAAAAGTGTACATAAAATAAATTCGACAGAATAAATAACTGACTTGATGTTTGTTGATAACTAGAGGGTATTCTTAAACTAAAGAAAACTTAGAAAAAGTATTTTATTATTTATTCAATGAATTCACTTCTTTCATTGATAGTTACTCTTTGTCTTGTATTCACTCAAGTAAATGCTGTTGATTTTTATGATTTTGATCTTTTTGAAGATTCACAAAATTTTGAACAAGACATTGATTCATTCATTGAATTGTTTGATGATGATGATTCGATGGAACTTCTTCTTAATGATTTCTCATTAAAATCAATTGGAAGTGCAATAGGAAATGCTGTTGACAAAGGAACTAAATGGTTAGCAAAGAATGGAGATGCTATTTCAAATACTCTTGGTAAGGTTGCAGATATTGCAGGAACTGTAGGTAAAGTAGCTGGTACTGTTTCTAGTGTTGCAGGAAAAGTTGCATCAGTAGTACCAATTCCACAAGTAAAAGCAGCAGCCGGAGCTATTGCAGCAGGTGCCAAAGCTGTACAAGGAGTATCTAAGGTAGTAGAAAAAGGTGCTCAAATAGGACAAAAAGTAGTAGGTGCAGCAACAACTGCATCTAAGGCATATCAAGACATAAAGAATGGAAAGACACCTAGCTTAGGTAATTCTAATAGTTCAGGTAGTTCTAAGTCTAGTGGAGGTAAA